TTGTCGCCCTGTTGATGACGTCAGCGATGCCGTTTAATCGGGTGCGGTTTAGTCGAGCGCGGTTTTGATGGGTCATGCACACACACAGACATTACACATTAGTGTGTAATGTGTGACACATTACACAGCAAGAATATATATTCTGTCACAGGCATATACTGGATTATCATTTTTGCCATTGCTGCCTATTTTCCAATTTTGGTTCTCCCATTTTTATATCATTGGCAAATTTTACTTTTCCAAATTCATGCTAAATTTTGAGGACTTTTGCATGACCACTACATGCGAGAAAATATTCCTTTTTTTTTTCCTTACAGCATTTGCAACGTTTATCATTTTATGGTTTGTCCATCTTGGTTTGTCCAACCATTTTATGGTTTGTCCACCTTTATGCTCCATCTGTAAAACATAATTTACTTGATCATGTACTTGATTCGGCTGATAATTCCACTGCCCTCAATTTGTACGCAATCATGGCTAAAATATGCCTGAGTAATATTTAGGAAAGGGTGTGTCTCCCATGCATGCCTTCATCTTGTTTCTCACATGTGAATAGGACAACTTGAAAGTTTATTATGGACCTTTTTACATTCCAGAATTAAGTTCTGAAGGGGGGGAACGATCCACTCTGGAGCCAAATAGTCCATCCTTTTAGGAAAGTATATTGCTGGCTGGGGAATTCTGGGAGTTGAAGTCCAGACATCTTCAAGCGGCCAAGGTTGAGAAACACTGTCCTCTCCACTGTTTGCCTGTATTATTGCGGCTGAAGCTGACAGGTAGGGCGTTCTAGCAGAGGATGCTGCGTCCTGTGCTCAGGTTCTAATCCTATGCCTAATTCAATTCTATACCAGCCTGTTGGAAGAAAACCAGTGAAGCTACAGGTTAGGATCGCGTCTGGCAAAGCGGGGGCGGCGCCAGGCGCGATCCAGCCCGCGGATAGAGACAAAAGGCTCAAGGGCGCGCAGGGCGATGCTCGGGCGCCGGGAAGAAACCATCCGTTTCCCAAAACAAAGGACTCCCTTCTCCGGGGGGGGGGTCGGCTTGGAAGGAAACCGAGCTCCCCCCACACCCCCACCGGGACTCCGCCGGGCACGCGCGGGCACGCGCTCCATCCTCGCCGCCTCTCTGCCCAGCGCGCGCTCCGGCACCGCGCAACCCGGGCGCGCGCGGAGCCACCAGCCCGCGGATTCCTCGGCGAGAGGCAGAGACAAGCAACGCTGCTCTCTCCCCGGAGCGCAGCCGGGAGACCCTCGGAGCGGAACCCCGGAGGCTTCCCCCTCCCCAGCGGCGGCGCCGCGTCCTGATGGGCGGCCGGGCGCATCTCTGCCCGCGCTGCCTTGGAGGCGGGGACGGCGCGGGTTTGCGCCCAGGCGGAGGAGCGGGCGGCGGCGGCGGCGGTGGAGTCTCAGCCTGCCGTTGACTGCGGGCGCTGCAGCCGGACGGGAGAGCCGCCTTCGCGGGGGGACGAGAGGCCGGAGCCAGGTGAGGAGGAGGAGGAGGAGGAGGAAGAGGAGGAGGA